GTGTCATTAGTTCACGGCGAACGATGCTTAAGATGAAAATATTCCGTTCGCGTGAAAATCACTGAAAATTAACAGAGCGAAAATCTTATGCGAAAGCAAAGTAAACAAAGCGGTAATAATTGTTATAATTCATTCTCTCAATGAATCCTGTGACGTACAGTCGGTGACTGGTGACAGGCAAATCTCGTTATGCTGTGTCGCACTGAGAGGCGCGGATTCGTTTGTTCGTTGGCCAAAACAGAACTAAAAACGGGGTGACTGGAAGTGTTTCTCTACAGTACAAACCCACCTTTGCCTTCTAACTCCTAATTGCTGCTACGCAGCAAGCGTGTTCTTTGTAGAGCTGATTTCCATGTCTATTCCTCCTGACCGGCTGAAGATAAGAGAGTGCAGGATTGGTAGAAAGCTCTAGGGTGGTCCTAAAACGTTTGGTCTTTGCACCTCCTTGGTCACCATTTCCGTGTCCCTGTTCTACTGTGGTAGAGGAAACCTGAAGATCGTGAAGAAAGTTTCGAGCCCTAGGCACCTGGCGCAAACTTTCAACTAGTCGTTTCAGAACATGATTTCGACATAAATTCATCAGTATTTAGCTCTGATTGATTTAAACGATGGTTTAAACATCACTGCTTTGCGTGCGATTGCAACGAGGTCCACTGGAATTGGTAGCCTTGCAAAGTGCATGTTTAACAATATCTCAGCACACCACCGAACAGTAATATATTAACATGTCAACAGGAACAAAACTTTCGTACACATCCTCAAAGACAGCATACCTAGTAATATACTACATACAGAATATCCGGTTTACCTGAGACCCGAACAAAAATTATGGAAGAATGTCAAAACAAGGAAAGAATCTCGTGCCAGAAAAGGCCATGACAGACTGCGAAGACATGTAATGTCACGTCACAATGATAACTACAAACAGACGCGGTGAAACAGAAATGTACCCCGCCCTGGTAACGGCTCAATGCTGCTAGATATTTGTTTTAAACGGTAAGGGAATGCTAACTAAAATTCCTCAGGAAGTATTCGGATAACACAAACTCTGTGCTGGCAACATGACAAGGAGTAGCGAAAGTGGACTCGTGAAGAAAACTCCAAAAATAAACTTGTCTAAATAAGAACAAAACGGAGAACACTGCGAGCCGTTTCATCAGGCATAAAGACTAAAAAAAGTGGATCTTAAAGGAAGGTGGAAGTTCCCCTGCTGGCTATAACCGAAATTTTCAAATACCTTTGCTCGATCCTATAAAACGATGGATAAAAAGCAGCTGCTCGAAAAATAAAGCTGAATGGAAATGTTTAAAGAAAACCGGTAAAGCAAGAACCAAGGTAGCTAAGTACTAGACTACTCAGAAGAAACATGAACAACGGATGAAATTTCAGATGAATTTTGAGCGTAAACAGAAGGGCATTGAGAAGACCAGAGGAAAGTCAATCTTACTTTCCATTACTTTACAGCAATTCGCAACGGGAAGTAATGAACAGGTCCAAGAAATTTCCCGCATGCATTGTTTGTAGGTTTGTCTTCGTATTATAACAATATCTGTATAATATTCAGTACCGACAGTCAGTGGTATTCGATGACTGCTTATCCTTTAGGGTCAAGGAGGAAGAAGCCTCATACAATGTCCCCAACGTTCCTGATACCGTGCCAGAGTTTGACCTTTAGCAGAAGATAAATTTTGTGAATCGGAAGCAGAGTCATACGAGACACGTGTTTCAAGTAATTCTTCGCCGTCCATAGAGTCTTCAGCGGTCACCAGAAAAAGCAGTAGCTGTTTCGCCTTCCTTTCTGGAATCATTTCTAGACGTGCCCAAACCATCATAGCTGCTACTTCGCAATCTGCAAAAGCACATCAAGGCTCTCTTGGATATCTGAACTCCAGACCATACGAAACGTACGAGTGCGACGAAACAAAAAGCCCATTTCATCCACTTGTGCATGAGACTAAAGCTGTCTAGTAATGAACCACGAATCATGATG